ACTCTGATTTTACGAGAATATTCCTCGTCCAAATAAAACTTAATTCATCATATTCAGTCTTCATTTACGCGTGATTTTCGTGCACGGGCAATTAAATTTCTGGCGGGAAAATTACTTATTGAACAGTTGGGTTATTTCCAAAAAACACCGCTAAACGAAAATAGTTTATTTCTTTTTATGCAAAATTTACGATGATTTTCGGCATTAAGCACACAAGTTAGGTGTGAAGAAACAACCGTTCATGCACTTAATCCAATTCAGGTTTTGTGCAAAAACGTATGATCGCTCCGGCTCGCCTGGTGCGTTCCAGCCTACGTTCGTTGAACTGTCGTTCATTGAAAATATGCAGATTTGAATGAATTCCGAAGAGGATCATGAAATCTGTAAACCGCACTGCTACAGACAGCAAAAACGCATATTGTCGAGAGGTCATCTCTGTGTGTGTGTGTGTGTGTGTGCGTGTGTGTGTGTGTGTGTATGTGTGTGTTTGGAATCGAGTAAGCTTTGTCACCCACTTTCATCTCAACAACCAGGGAAGCTGGGATGCTGATATTTTGGGTATATGTTTCGACCCCATGTGTCACCCTCCCGTTTTAAGATCTCACACGCTCCTAGGCCTTACGTACGGGCCCCTCCAAAAAATATGCAAATTCCTTTGGCAGGAAACGGTTTCACAAACCAGGCAAGGTACAAAGCTGAAACTTTGCAGAGTTATTTCTTGTGCGTGTGCGAGCTAGAAATTTTAAATTCAGCTGTAGCGCACGCTTGTGCAGCGCGTACGATCACGTCAAAGTTTGCGACTTAGTACTGTGCTAACTCGAAAACTTGCAAGAAAACAGTGGCTGAAATTTTATCAGCGTGTTTGTCGCCAATTTGGGAAACCGTGTACCTAAAATGAGTACCGATTTGCACTTGCGCCATGACTTAAGGTACTAAGAAATTTTGTAGCGAAGTGGATATTTCGCCTACAGGATAAGGTGAGAGGTTGGAAATTCGCTGGGATATTCTACTTTCAAGTGCGGTCTTAATTCTACTTAGAAGGAAAATTTCCTGTAGGTGGCCTTAAATATCTATCTCTAGCGAAAAATCAGAAACAAGTGCATTTTGCAACGAACGGCCGCCCTCGTCCAAATATGCAAATGAACATTCAGTCCATTTGCCTACTTGGATTTTTTGACAAACGACCGCTCTAGCAGCACTTCCACTTTTTAGTAAACTGGGAATCCGCACTTTTTCAGAAAATTTGCATTCTTCATTAAATACCTGGGGGTCATGCGGCCCTATAATGCAACATCTTCATCCCAACGGACGCCCTTACTCCTGCATGCCAGAAAGCGTGGCTAATATTAGCCCAAGTGTTAGGTTAGAGCGACCTGCGAGTTTAGTGCAAAAATGCATGGTCGCACCAGCAAGCTTAGTGTTGCAACGCAGGGTTGGGTTGAGTTTGCGATAAAGTTGCGTATTTGTCATGTCTGCGTACTTGGAATTTCAGCTCCAAATCAAATTAAGACTACATATGGATATAGATTATCCTTGCAAAGTTACAGCTTCGCAACTGACCTGGTTGACGAAATAGCCAGTTCGACAGAAATATCTCTGAAGTGCCCTAGATCGTATCGCAAGTGCAAATCAGAACTCAGTTTAGGTATACGATTTCCGACTCGATTGATAAATACTTTGACAAAATTTCAACTACTGTTTTTTGACTAGTTTCGAGTTAAGACAGTGCCAACTGCGAACTTTGACGTGGTCCTACGTGCGGTATAAGCGTGCGCGATAGCAGCATTTGAAAGCTTTAGCTTACACATGCACAGAGAATATCTCTGCAAAGTTTCAGCTTTCTATCTTGTCTGGATCACGAAATTCTTTCCTGCCGAAAAAAATTTGCATATTTTTTTCGGAGATCCGTAAGGCGCGTATAAGCGAAGCTTTTAAAGCGGAAGGGTGACACATAGAGTGGGGATGTGGCTCCAAAATTTCAACCTCCGAGCTTTCCTGGTTGCTGAGTTGAAAGTGGATGACAAAGTTCACTCGCTTCCGTTCGGAACACACACGCACAGACGGACCGGCTCTCGACAATATGCGTTTTTGCTCACAGTTGCAGCGCTATGGCGCTAAAAACCGCGAAACGCATCCGCATTTGACGCTGCGATAAAATTAAGTGTTCCTCACGTTCGTGCGGGGATTTTAGCTTCCACACACAGTTTAGTCCGCATACGGATGTGGCTTATCCTTGCAAAGATTCAGCACTGAAGCCTCTCCAGTAAGCAAAAGAGCCACTACACTACAAATATCTTTTATGCGGCCCAACGCTTGACGCAAGTGCAGTTCGAAACTCCGTTTAGGCATACGATTCCTCAGATGGATGATAAATATTCTGGCAATATTACAGTTATTATTTTCCGGTAGTTCTCGATTTGTTACGGCGTCAGCCGAGAACATTAACTCTACCCGTGCCACAAGCGTGTTCGATAGCTGAATTTGAACTGTTTAAATTGCACATAGACAAAAAGAATCTTTGGAAAAGATCGAACTTCTCGGTTTCCAGGACCGTTTTCCGCCAAAAAACTTTGCAAGTTTTCTTTCAGATTTCAATACACGAAACGCTACAAAAAGGTGGTGCATGAAGTCTCAGCTTCCTGGCTTTCCTTGTTAAGTTGAAAGTGAATAGCAAAGTTTTTTTCGTCTCCGGATACATACACAAAGACAGGCTCTTAAAAATATGAGTTTTGTATTGCAGCAGTTGCACAAAATGCATACTGTCAAGACCCTATGTGTTTGTGTCTGTAGGTATTTCGTAGGCAATTACTAAAATAGGTTAGGTCCTCACCTGGTCTTTGACTGCAGCAGCGGAGGACAGTGAAAAGTGCAAGCACTTTATTCCGAACAAAAGCTTCACTTCAACAGAACGACGAGCCGGAGCATCGCACAAGCTTTTGAGCAGGAAAGGGGACGCTAATCTTGTCGAGACGGCCATTTAATAACGTTAGTTAGGGCAGGACGTAGCAGAGCAGTGACAGGCGTTGATTTCGAGACTAAGACTTGGGTTTTCAGAAGGGGTTTATATAGGGAAAATTAATTGGGGAAGGAAGGCAAGGTAGTTAGTAAGTGAGAAGGTTGGCAATATGGAATTATTTAGAATTTGTTGGAACTGTTAGAAATTAGTGAGTGGAGGGAAGTTGGTCGAATTATAAGGTTACAAAGGTGATGGATGGAGAGGATGAGGAATTGTGCTCCTGGTTTTTGCCGTGGATACCCGGGGTAGGGAAAGGATGAAATACTGCTTGCTTGCACTGTGTTCTTATAGTGAGGGTGGAGCGGAGCTCATATGTTGCTTTTGTGGGTAGGATTTGGGGATAGGATAGTGAACAAGGTCGAGGACACAAGTCAGGAGCTCGAGGCAAGAACTGGAGACAGCAGAAAAAAGACAACACAGCACTACAAAGAGCAAATTAAAGCAAATCCGAGTCCATCAGTAAAAGCAAAAAAGTGAAGTAAAAAAATCTGGGCCTATGGATAAAAGCAAAAAAAACTTAGTAGAAAGCGTACCGGCTGCCGATACGAGGATGCGTTTTTTGCACAGTTCCTCCGCAGGTTCTTTTTCGCCAGTGGCACGTTTCTCCTGGCAGATGCTTCTAGCTAAAAGGATTGGAACTGGCCACCAGGACTGTTAGAAATTGTTACAGTGATTCCCAATCCATGCCCGAAAAATCCAGCGCTCCAGCTACTCTGATTGCAGAGTTACATCAAATTTCACGTGTTCGTACGTGAGTGGCAACGTGAATGCTTCCTTCACCCACAGTTGCTCAGACGTGGTCTTGGTGACGCACAGAATGTTTCAGCACTTCAGCTGGTCTGGTTGCGGAGTTGCGTCGAATTTCATGTTTGTACACGTGAAACGTATGTAAGACATGAAAGTGATGTGTAAGTCGTTTTTGCGTGTGTCTGGTCAAAGGCCATCGTCGGTTATGCTCAGACTGGTTCAATTCTGAACTTACAAAAGGGCATGCGTGAAATTTTCACGTGTTCGCACTTGAGATGCAGAAGAGCTGACAAGTAATTTGCTTTCACGAGCACAACAGTAGGCGACAAGTAAAAGTAAAGTTGCAGCTCTCTGCAACTTATTGATCAGCTTAAATCTGGAGTTGGCGTGATGCCAGCTTAAACTTTGACGTGTGCGTACGTGAGACCTGGGAGTGCGTGAAGGCTGAATTTTAAATCTTGGATTAAACGCGGCCAAGGAACATCTCTGTGAAGTTCCAGCTTCCTAGCATGAGCCGTTCTCAAAACGCTTCCCCGCCAAAAGAGCTTTCACGTGCCCCTACGTGAGAACCATGCGGACCTGAGCACCCATTTTGAGGATACGAGACCGCACGCATGTGCAGATTAAGTCACCAAGTTTTCAGCCTTGTAGCTTTTGTGGATCTCGAGATGAAAACTCGTTACAGACGCACATAAAGACATACACAGACGACCCCTCGACAATATACGTTTTTGTGTTACAAAGCTGCGAAAAACGCATAAAAACTGAGCCTTTGCTAGTGGAATTTGTTCTACATAAGCCTGTCGTCAGTAGAAGGTTTCCTGTTTATGAAGCTGATGCTTAGGCAAAGCTGAAAGCGAATAAGTTCTGTTGTGTACGAACAGAGCAAAAACAGAGTAGACTGGATGCATGGGAATGAAGTCAACTTTTGCTTATGTGAGATCTTGAAGGCAAAAAAACAGAGGTGTCACTGTTGTGCACAGTTGCAGGCTGCTAAAGGTAAATCAGTGGAATTGTGTGCAATTTTTGTAAATCCTGTTGTATGGAGAGCAAACGAGGATGCGCAGGAAAAAGGCAGAACGACCCAGAAGCAATCCGCAACAAGATCTCCCTTCCCCAAGTGATCTTTTTCTCCTGATGTAGGAGTATAAAAGAGCTTGCTTTTGTTGTGACTTTTATGCGTTTTCTGCAGCTATGCAATGCGGAAAACGCATATTGACGAGAGGTTGTCTGTGTGTGTGTGTGTCTGTGTGTGTGTTTGTGTGTGTGTGTGTGTGTGTGTGCGCGCGCAGGGCCTCTGTACTGATTTTTCATCTCGAGACCTACAAGAGCTACAGGGCTGGAACTTTGGGGATAATCTACATGCACGTGCAGGCCCCCATTTCCAAAATGGGCGGTCTTTCCCGCGTGGTACACACGTAAGAGCCCGCCAAAATCTTTTTACGGATAAGCTGCTAACTCGCGAACCAGAAAAACTAGAGAGCTGGAATTTTGAGGGAATGTTCTCCGTCCAAGTAGGTACTAATGAGCTCAAACCCAACCCTCGGGTAGGCGTGGTACTTGCGTGCGAGCTTGCCAAAATTTTTCCCGGGTAAGTTCATAACTCGGGAATCTGAGGTGCTAAAAGGCTGAAATTTTAAGGGAATGTTCCCCGCCCAAGTAGATATTATTGAGCTCAAACCCAATCCCCGGATAAGCGTGGTACCCTCGTACGAGTCCGTCAAAATTTCTTTCAGGCAAGTTGATAACTCGCGAAACAGAAAAGCTAGAAAGCTGAAATCTTAAGGGAATGTTCCCCGTCCAAGTAGGTATTAACGTTCTCAAACGCAACTCCCGGGCAAGCGTGGTACCCGCGTACGTGCCCGCCAAAATTTTTCCCGGGTAAGCTCATAACTCGGGGTCTGAGATGCTAGAAGACTAATGTTAAGGGGGTGTTTCCCGTCCAAATTAGTCTCAACGAGCTCAAACCCAGCCCTTGGTCACGCGTGGTACCTATGCACGTGTTCACCAAAGTTCTTCTCGGATAAGTTCATAACTCGAGAACCTGTAAAGCTAAAAGACTGTAGTTTTAGGAGGATGTTCTCCGTCTAAGTAAGTCTCGACGAGCTTACACCCAGACATCGGGTATGCGTGGTACCCGAGTGCGGGCTCGTGAAAAATTTTTTCCAGTAAGTTGCTAACTCAGGAGCCAGGAAAGCTAAAAAACTGAAATTTTAAGAGGGTGTTTCCTGCCAGTTTTGGCGGCCAGTCTTAATTTGTTTCGCTAGAAGGATCTGCCGGAAAAACCGATGCCGGTAGCGACAAAAAGTGCGGGGAACTATGCAAAAAACGCATCTTCGCACGGACAGCCCGTACGTTGGCCAATTATTTCTTTTGGTATTTTGTTTTTTGCTTCTGCTTTCTTCGGTTTTATTTTCTTTTGCTTTCATTTGTTTTATTCAAAGGTCCCGATTCTTCGCCTTAGCTTTTCTCCGTTTTTTCCCCATAAATTTAAGGTTTTTTAATTCGCTTTTCTTTGCACTGTTCTGTTGTCTCTTTTTATGCGTTTTGTGCTGTGTAACAGCAGTACAAAACGCATATTGCTGCGAGGTTGTGTGTGTGTGTGTGTGTGTTCGAGATTTTGTCCTGCACTTTCAACTCAGGGAACACAAAAGTTGGGTGGCTGAAATTTGTTTCCCGCCAACGCGACACTGAAAATTTAAATCCAGCAGTAAAAGTAAAATTAGTAAAAGTAAATTTTACTTTTACTTTACCTAAAATTTTACTTAAAAGTAAATTTTACACTGCAAGTTTTACTTATTTTACTTTTACTTCCTCTTTATTGCTGTATGCAGTTCTTGCCTCGAGCTCCTGACTTGTATCTTCGTTCCCTCTCTTCTCTGTTCTGAAATCCAGTGCGCAAAGCAACATCTGAGCTCCTCTCCACCCCCACTATAAGAGCACTCTGAAAGCAAGCAATATTTAAGCCCTTTCCCTGTTCCAGGTACTCGCGGCAAAAACCAGAAGCACACTTTCCTTATTTCCATCCACCATTCTCCTCCCACTCTCCCTTACGTGGTCGAGTCAATCGTCAAAGGGTCTAAGCCACGTAGCCATTCAATCCACCCACCCAACCTCTCCCCCTTCCTTGTTTTAATTCCCGCACGCACCACCCTCTCACTTCCACTCCATCTGCGGCACCAAAGTTCAATGCCAAGGTGGGATAAGGACACACGCCGCTGGCAGAAAAAATTTCTCGCAGATCGTGTGTGACGCCGGCCGAGCCAGATATGTCCTGTCACCGCAGTCATTAAGCAATCATGAACAAATAAATCATAAACTTTACATACCAAAATATCTTGCATATTCTTCAGATGTTCCAGACTCCCACCATGCACTGATCTTCAATTTTAATGTACGTTTCTTAAAACTTTGAAGTTTGGAAACACTTTAAACAATATTTTGAAAATATGGGCAACTAAAAATATGCGTTGCAGAAGAACTTCACAAAAAGATTCGTGGGATGAGATTTATAGAAAAAAAAACGAATCTGCTATACGCCTTCCTGGCCAAAGTAGATAAAATATTGTAAAGCTCTGGGCTTGCTGCTGCTACTGGCCGATCCGTTTTTTGTTGCTGTTAATTTTAATAAAGTATTTTGTCATTGTTGTCTCAAGCCATGTCATTACGTGTAAGGTGCTTTTTCATAAACTATACCCAGGCTGGAACGCACCGGGCGGACCCGTGCGATCATGCGTTTTTGCACCGGACTTGAATTACT